TGTTTCCATCTGTGGCGATGACAAACCCCCCCCCCCATATCCCCGGTTGCATTCGACTGCAGGCTCCCGGGAAAGGACCCTGTGGGGCAAAGGAGAGGCTTTAAAAAAAAACAAAAACAAGAAAGTAAATTTCTGAATGGAAGAAGCACAATGAGAAGCGTTTCAAATTAAACAGAAATCACAGCACTAAGAACACGGGTAATACTCACTTCTCCCTCACACTGAGCAAAAGTTAACAAAAAGACAGAACAAAACAAAGGTTAGTGGACAAAACAGGAGCCCCGCAAAGGATAAGAGGAGGGCGCGGAGGTTGGGGGGGGGGGGACACACACAACACACGAATCCAAGAGAGGGAAACCGCGCCTTCAGTGCCACGGCTCTCATCTTCCGGGTGGACGGTCAGCGCTAGAAATGAGGCTGCAGTTTTGGAAGGGGCAGGAAGGAGGGTGGGAAGAGCCGAAGGGCGCAGGGCCGGTGAGCAAAACCGAGCCCCGCTCCACAGGTCTGCCCTACCAGCAGCCAGGTCCAAACCAAGCCCCCCGTAGCAATGCTTGGACCTGCCTGGCCGTGGCACAGGGCCACAAGGGGATGCCAGCCGCCTCCCGTGCCACGGATGGCCACCGGAAAGCTGAGCCACAGCAGAGCATCCATGCCCTCCTCTCACTGCGCCACCCCCATTAGTTGCCTGGTCTAAGAACGGCCCTGGTTTAAGGGGACGGGAGGCAGAGGGGGAGGAACAGGAGCACCAGACCTGGGGGTGGGGGTGGGGGGCTGGACACATGAAGCCAGTTTTGTGAGATCCCAGGGGCAGCAAGGCAATGTCTGTGCAACCCGGCAAAAGCAAGCATGCGACCTCTGTGCACAGAGCCCCTCCCTCCTTGAGTGGTTGCTTCTTTCAGCCTCTTCAGACATGATGGGTTTCACCTGTAAAGATGGAGCCAAGCACTACTTTTGGGATGCTGAGTCGTGATATTCACCCCCCCCCAACCTATAATTTAAGCCACAGGAATGAAACAGTGGAAGAACTCTAGATATGGGTCCCGCCTGTGGAGGGTGGTGGGCATTTGACCCCCTGCCCACCGTTTCCTTGATCAGAACTCTCCCCCCTTGAGCACCTTTTAGTTAGAGATGTGAAGGCCCGGGAAAAAACCGGAAAAATTCGGAGAAAAAACCCGGTTTTTTTCCCTGAAGCCTTTTTTGTTTTTTTCCGAAAAATTGGAAAAATTGAAAAACGAAAAGAAAGGAAAAAAATTGATTAGGGAATGTTTTATTTAACATGATGAATAAAATATTTTAAGACAAGGTGTTCAAATATTTTCCAAATCAGATTGATCTAATTTCTGTGCACTGAGGACAAGCAAGTCCTAGGTTACAAACTGAACTCTCCAATGCAAGAACAAGATGCATTTCTTCCTTTAGGAGATGCTATTGTCAGAAGAAAAGAAAAAGGTTTCAGTTTTGTTTTTGCATGTGGGTGGGTATTCTGTTTGTAATAATTGTTTGGATACACTATATATTTAATATGCTAGTTGTGATAATTTCATGCCAAGTAAAAATGTCCATAGTCATATTTTATGTTCCTAAAGTAACAGAATGACTTTCAATCTACAAAAGACAAAAGAAATGCTAATGTGGCGTTTTTTTCAATTTTTCCGAAAATTTCCGTTTTCCCCCTAAAAAACCTGGAAAAAACCCGGGGCTTCAAAATTTCCGGAAATTTTACATCTCTACTTTTAGCTCTTGTAAGTTTATGCTAGTCCCCCCCCCCCCAACACACACACCTGGGTTAAAAGTAGCCCCCGGGGAGGGGAGAGAGAATTCCTTGCCCAGGACCATGGACAGCTCCCCAAACAGTCCTCCATTGACTGTTTTTTGTGGCTATATGGCCGGGAGGGGGTGGTGGTGTATGATCAGACTCCCAGCGTTACCTGGACAAATATTTAGCAAACAAGGTGCTTTCTTCAGGAAGGTAGGCCTGGCGGTAGCTCCCTCCCTACTGTACCCAAAGCCAGGTTTCCCAACCCCTGCAGTGGCTCTTAAAGAACATCCCTGTACACAGAGCGGTGGTGGAAAGCACCGTCAAGTCACAGGCAACACTTGTGGAGAACCCAGAGGGGTTTTCAAGGCAAGAGGCATTCAGGAGGGGGTCTGCCATTGCCTGCCTCTGCGCAGCAACCCTGGATTTTATTTGGCGGTCTCCCATCCAAGTCCTCACTAGGGCCGACCCTGCTTAGCTTCCACACTTCCTGCCCTGGTCCCAGCCTGGTGGGACACACTCCTGACTTGAGATCAGGGCCCCTGCCGCAGGATTTATGACAGTTCCACAGGGCCCGTAAAATGGGGCTGTTCTGCCCGGCCTCCAGTTGAGGCGGCAGACGTCCAACCGCTTTGGCCTCCCCTGCTCATACGGGTCCTACTCAATGGCCCCTCGTGCTATAGAGATCTGCACAGCACCCTCCGATGAACCAGATGCGCACGGATCCCCTCGTTGCGCCCACACAGGAGGCCCTCCGGACTCCCACGAACTGGTCTGCCATCTCGTTTGCATTGGTTCTCGTCTGGTTTCAAATTGTCTGTTTTAACACTGTTCTTGTATCGTTTCCTGTGACAGTGTTGTGGTATGACTGCTGGGAGGGCGGGATCAAAATAAAACAAAAAATATAAAAAGATGGGGCCAGCCTTGGTCATCCAGGGCAGGGCTCTGAACAGGGTCCAGGGGTCTGAGCTTGGGGTCCTGCAGCCCTGATTCCTGAGGTGTGCAGAAGCGCGCCCCAAAGGGGCTGAAGTCTTGACATTCCAAACATCGCGTGCATCCAAAGTCTGCCCGGTTGGAGACTTGCTGGGGGACCCAGAGGCTCAGAGAGAACTAAACTGAGACACAGAGGAGACCCCCGCCCCCATTTCTGATGGGAGAAAGGCGCAGAGAGTGGATGGTGCCCAGTCCTTCCAGGGGCTTTTCCTGTCTGGAAAGGGGCGATGGGTGGAATGTCAGCAGGAGCCAAGCCCAACCCCCATCAACAGGGCTAACAGAGCAGCAGCGTCCCTGGGGGCTATGCAGAGGCCGTGCTCATGGAAGGCTTGTGGAAGTCTACTCATGGGCTCCCTGCCTCGCTCCATGCAGAAAAAGGCTTCCTGATTCCACCCAACACCAATCTGTTTCTGCATCCAAATATAGGCCCTTCAACTGGAGATGGTTCCTTCTCTACAAAGCAGGAGCTTTAACCATCGTAAAACCCTGGTTACTGAGGAAACTAGTCCCAATTTATTAGGGGGCCCCCCATATCTGAGCATCAGAGCAAACTGGAGCTGGATTGAAGGGTTCCTTTCCCCAGGAAGCCTTCAACTGCCATGCAGGGGCACAAAGGACACGCTAGCCCCCAAACAAACCCAGGTCTAGTGCTCTGCTTGAACAAACTCTCATTTTTCTGGGGACAACTGAATAGTCAGGATATGCTGTGTTCCCCAGTAGGGCTGTGATGGTGGGGTAGAGGAGGGCCCAACACACACAAGGCCCCTTCAGCCACTCCTGTCTGCAAAGATCTGGAAGGCGGGCAGTTAAAGCCTCCATCCCTTGCGCTGAGAGGGGATAGTGGAAGAAGAGGAGAACGTCTGCATGAAGATAACCCCCAAGAGCAGTGTTCCCTCTAAGCTGAGTTAGTGTGAGCTAGCTCACAGTTTTTTAGCCTCCAGCTCACACATTTTCGTATAGCTCAGGAGAGGTGGCTCCAGAGCAAACTAATTCATGCAGCAGCCAAATGGCTCGCTCACAACGTTAATGCCAGTAGCTCACAAAGTAGAAGTTTTGCTCACAAGACTCCACAGCTTAGAGGGAACATTGCCCCAAAGCTTTTTTTTAGTGCAATAATCGATGGGCA